CACACAGCACTAACCTAATTATATACATATATATATCATCACCCTATAATATATATATGTCAGTAGTGTGTGCCCCCCAACCCCAAAACCTGTGTGTGCTGCTGTGTGGTGCTGCTGGTGTGTGTGTGTCGTGTGTGCTCGTGATATAGATGTGTTGCCCTACAATAGCTATCTCATACTATTCAATAAAAATAAATACACATAAAATATCTACATACTAGATATTCCATAACTACATATGCCCTAATATCATAGCTTTATATCCACAAGTATGGATAATTGCACTTTTCCGCATTGATATCCTATCTAATACAATAACCTCTCATGATCTCTGGATACAACCAATCATTTATATGTTATGTATAGTGTATATAATATATAATACCTCCCATATAATACCTATATTAGTATACCTACAAACCAACCCAAAAAAACAAACCTCACATACCCATATTAACAATCACTACCTAAATAATATATATACCTCAATATATACTATACTAACTAATTATATATTATTATACAACATAACCCGAACACACCCCGCTAACACAACACACCACACACACACACACACACACACACACATAGACACACATTACACCAACACACAGACCACACACACACACAAGAACACACCACACAACACACACACACACACACACACACCACACACACACACACACACACACACACACCAACATATGAGAGAGAGAGAGAGAGAACAGCAGAAGAGAGAGAGAGAGAGAAAGATAGATAGATAGAGAGAAAGACAGACAGACAGACAGAAAGAGACAGACAGACAGACAGAGAGAGAGATTGAAAGCGAGAGAGAGAGAGAGAGAGACAGAAAGACACATAAATGACCCAAATGAAGCAAAATTGAAGCAGACCAACGAGGCAACACCCCCCCCCCCCCCCAACATAACCCTTCCCTTCCTTACCTGTGTTATGCAAAGCCGTAACGTTCGCGACGAGGGCGGCTACATGCGTGTCCTCCGGCAGTGTGACGCAATAGCGGGGATGCGTGAACTCGAGGGGACCCGACCCAGGCCCGCTCAGCAGACGCGTCGCTGGAGGAAGGGAAAGAGAGGTCAAAGGTCGTCCTGAAAGATTCATTCACAGGAGATTTAGTTAAGTGGTAAATGGGTTGTTGGATTTGCTCGTAATGATTGATTTGGTCATGATTGTTATGGTAGTAATGATATTACTTGTGATACGTAATGATTTGTTACGGTAATAATCTTGTTATCATCATACTATCTATTGTTATCATTGATTTTGTGTTATTGTTGGTATTGTTTCATCATTAGTAGGAGTATCATTACTCCTACTAATGATAATAATAACATTATTATTATTATTATCCTCCTTCTCCTCCTCCTCCTCATCATCATTGTCTTTATTGCTATCATGATTATCAATGCTACTAACGTCATTATCATCATCATTACAATCAAAATCATCACTATCATCAACAACAATCATAGCGAATTCCACAAGACAGAAACAAACTGCCATGACTCACTTAGCAGAGTTGCATTATTAGACACAGTTCATATGATCTCCAGTTGACTTTCAGCTGAAAGTTGTATTGGCTCTGAATGTGATATCAGTGGAGGAGCGAGGAGCATGTGGGAGACACCTTTCAGAGGATGGTGAGGTCTATGAGGTGGAGTTTGGCGCTTTTCATGAGGTGGAGAGTCGTCTTTTTTTTCTTTTTTTTTCTTTTTTTAAGTTTGATAAAGTATCATTTAGTATTATCAAGTACCTGTTAGGGTTATTACTTTCCTCATTTCGTTTATTATTATGGATTGCATTATCATGATCAAATTTGTTTAATGTTGCTTATATATTTACCATGATTTTTAGTAGCAGTATTAACTTCTGTGTCGTTACCAAACCTCCGAAATCTTTGATAATTACTTTATTGTCCAACGATCGTTTGTCTCCATGAAACCTCTTTGTTTTTTTTGGACGTGACACAGAGAGCAATTGGTTTGATTTTGGAGGCGAATCTGTCCTCCGTTACGCAATCTAAGGAGGCAGAGAAGAGTTCGAACGCCAGGAAGAAGAAGAAGAAAAAAAAAAAAAAATAAAAAAAAATAATAAAAAGAAAAAAGGGATAGGAAAGAATCGTGTGTGTGTGCTTTTTTGTGTGTGTTTGTGCATGTGTGTGTGTGTGTGTGTGTGTGTGTGTGTGTGTGTGTGTGTGTGCGTGCGTGCGTGTATCAAACGTTTGTTTGTTTGGGTGTGTGTTCAAAACTGTAAAATATGTCAAGTACCAACAGCTTGATTTAAATATATATTCAAAACAGATATGTAAAAATGCAGTTGAATAAACAACAACTGAAGTTCGGTATGCATTTTTGGGCTGTAAATAACAAGCTTTCAGACATACATACACGAACAGAAGAAGAAGAAGAAGAAAAGGAAAAAATCTAGCCTCCACATTTGTTCCTCAAAAACCGGCCAGCGTACCATAGGGGGACAATGAACAATTGAGGTGGACAGTCCCGTGGGAGGGAAGGTTTGGGTCGGGAAAAAAAGCAAAAATTGTCTGCTCGTTAAGGTCTTCACGGGAGCAGAAAGTGATCGATAAAAAAAGAGAAAAATGTCTTTTAATTTGATTTTTATCTCATGACATTTGTATGTGTGTGTGTGTGTGTGTGTGTGTGTGTGTGTGTGTGTGTGTGTGTGTGTGTGTGTGTGTGTGTGTGTGTGTGTGTGTGTGTGTGTGTGTGTAATAAGAAACCAATCAATAAAGGCTAAAAGGATTTTTTTTTTCAAATGTACGTTAAAATTCGATATTCTTCGCAAATTAAGAATCTGACTGGTCCCTTCTCTCTCTCTCTCTCTCTCTCTCTCTCTCTCTCTCTCTCATCAATACTAGCATTTTATTTCGGAGAATGTGTTTATACACATGGAGAAAATATATATATTCATGGCCTGCCATTATCTTAGTCATCATGTTTCCCAAAAAATCGTTTTATATTCATTTTGCTGAAGTTCATGCATTTTTCCCTCATTATTTGGAACACCGGATAGATAATGATTTTCATATTTTAGGAGGTTTCGTACAGCCCAAAAGCGTAATATTAACACACAAAGAAAGAAGATATCTTATGGTTATTATTATTTTTTTTTTAGTTTATTCTCCCAGCTAAGTGATCCTCAAATGTGTGGAATTTATTTGTTTTTTCTTAATCTTCATCAAATGCCATTTTTACGCGCACGAAACAGCACCAAATAGGAGAAAAACATACGGTGTTTTGATTTCATTTAGATATTACAGTTACAAAAATGAAATTCACAGAAAATGAACATACAATATTAACATTTTTTTCCTGGTAGTATTTTCGTTGATTCTTGTGTATCACTCGGTTTCAATATGGAATCTGGTGTTACCGTGGGAATTGCTGGGAATTTGCATTGGAGTTTTCTGTGTTCCATTCTCGCTTTATTTACATTGTGGTTTATAAAAAAAGATGACAAGTTTTATTTATATTTCATTTTTTTTGAGGGGGGGAAGCTAAAGCAAATGTTTGCTTCCCTTCCCCAAGAAAAAAACAAACATTTTTTTTTAAACCGAAGTGCATGCATATTTCTCACTCCCCCCCCCTTTCCTCCCTCCCACTGGGGAAACATCTAAAGCCTAATATTCCCCCCCCCCCAAAAAAAAAAAAAAAAAAAATGCAGTCTTCATATACGCACGAAGTAAAATCCGCAAGACGCAACAATTTTTTAATGATTTTTGGACGTTCTCCAAAGTCAGACGTGCATTTTCTAGCTTAGCATGCCAGCTCCTCAGCCCCTGGAAGATATATTATCTTCTCTTCCTTTCGTGGTTTCACTCGCCTTCCCAATATTCCGAACCAAACTTAGATCGAGGATAAGCATTTATCTGTGGGTGACGAAGCGAGCCCAACATGTTCTCACCTTCCATGCTGTTCTTACGAGAGGCTAAAGAATCTGTAGTCTACGATCACCATGGCAGTGTTTAGATACATGAACCAGTAGTGATAATGATAATGATAAAGATAATAATAATATTGATTTTGATAGTGATAATAGTAATAATAGTGATAATGATTATAGTAATGATAATGAAAAGATAATAATATTGATTTTGATAGTGATAATAGTAATAATAGTGACAATGATTATAGTAATGATAATGAAAATGATAAAGATGATAATATTGATTTTGATAGTGATAATAGTAATAATAGTGATAATGATTATAGTAATGATAATGATAATAATATAATGATAAAGATAATAAATAATATTGATTTTGATAGTGATAATAGTAATAATAGTGATAAGGACAATAAAAAAAAACATGATAATGATAGTCAGTGAAACAACTGCAATATGTATTTAATTGCTTCTATTAATAGCTTGCAATAAATGAATAGATAAATTGTTATTATAAATCTCTAGACTATCTGTCATGTGTGAGATCGCAGGCAAGAGACATTTTTGAAGCAGAGTGAACGAGAATTTAAAAAAACATCGCAAAGGAGTGTAAGTTATCCTCTTCCTTTCTCCTCTCTCTTTCTCTCTTCCTTTCTCCTTTCTCTTTCTCTCTTCCTTTCTCTCTTTCTCTCTCTCTCTCTCTCTCTCTCTCTCTCTCTCTCTCTCTCACTCTCTCTCCTCCTCTCCTCCCTCCTCTCCCTCCCTCCTCTCTCTCTCTTCTCCCCTCCTCCTCTCCTCTCTCTCTCTCTCTCTCTCTCTCTCTCTCTCTCCCTCCCTCTCCTCTCTCTCTCCTCTCTCTCTCTCTCTCTCTCATCCCCCTCCTTTCTCCCTGCCTTGACTCAAGCTCGTGGGACGTTTAGCCTTCCAACTGACCAAGTGCACCATGGAGTAGAAGGAAAGAAAAAAATCGCCCACGCTATCTTCGCTTGCCGTTACCGATCGGCGCCATAACCCGACGCAGCGTAAAGGGATGATCACGCGAGGGTTAATCTGCTCGCGCTCTCGACAGTCTACGATCTATTCTCTCTTCGCGCCTCGTGGCCTCTCGATCACGCGAGCAGGAGCGTTCGAGTCTGCACGCGCATTTGTAAACAGCAGGAATGGCGCTCGCATATCCTGCGGGAATTGTTGCTGTTGCAGTAATTATTGCATCAGTTCAAGCAGGAATGAAATATAAGGCTGCGTAGATGATTATGGACCTGACATCGGCGTGACGGGAGAGAATAAGTGTTTTCGGGGGATGTTGTTTGTTTTGTTAGCGAAACAAATGACGATCAGTGTTATCGTCTCTTCAAATAACCTTAATAATAATTTAAGAAACTCTGTATCCTTGTCCTGTTATAAGGAAATACATCTAATTGAAACGACAGTAACACAATGTAATTTCCTATTATATTCAGGCAAGGATCTCGATTTTACCTTTGGAGAAAGCATAGACTGAAATAATATAAATTACTGGGGTTTCCTTTTAAGGCACAAACGTTGGGGTGATTGTATCCGCCATATTATTTTTCTTTTCTTTTAATCACCAAGGAATTAGTTGTTAGTCCTGCCTAACCACAATCAGTTACTTAGTTTCCTGAATCTTCGTGAAAGAGGTTTTTATCCTTATCACTGATATTTATTATTATTATTATTATTATTATAACAATGGTAATAACAATATTGATAATTATAACACTGACGTAGCAACTGTAAATAGTAACAGGAATACGTCATCATCACCATCATCCTTATTATTATTGTTATTACCATTATTATTGTAATTGTTGTTTTTTGTTAATGATATTAACATTATTATGTTATCAATATCATTGTTACCATTGTTGTTGTTTGTAATTACCCATTTCTATTTATTACTTTCATGATGAATTGTTAATCTGGTGAAATAGTGATGGTAATTATGATGATGATATCAATGGATAATTATGCATACTAATGAGTAATAATGATAATAACAGTAATAGTAATTATAGCGATAATGATAATATTAATAGATTAATTTATGAGCGATAATGAAATTAATGTGATAATGATTGATAATATATCATAGTTAATGGATAATAATATATTATAGGATGATATGGATTAA